TCAGAAAGGTGCTGTGAGGGTGGCTCTTCTGTCCTGTTTATGAGCTTTCCAGAATCATAATACAGTCATACTGTGCAGCCAGTATACACCTGTAAATAAGGGGAGAGTTAAAATGCATGCCTGTCTATTAAAAAAAAAAAAAAAAGGCTGCATTATTTTAAGACATAGAGGAAGACAGTGGGAGCAAAGGCAACAAAAGAGGAAAGGGACAAAATACCAGTTATTGCATGTAAACAGGGAATAACACACATCCCTGCCCAATAATTACTTGCAAGGCTGATAACATAGTGGGCCTTAGCCACTAAGTGGATGAAACCTTCATAGGCCTTTCTGAAATACTCAAGTTCAGAGTTCACCGCTAGAGTGCAGTTGTTCCCAGGTAGGAATGGGGGAGGGCAGAAGCCACTTGAGATCATGGGTTGAGTTGTAGTCTGACACATCCTCCAGATGTATTAGACTAAACAGCCTTCATCCCCAGAGAGCTTGAGGTGATACCAATTTGGGGAATATGTGATCTAGATCAGGGTTCCTCATCCTTGGCGACTTGAAGGTGTGTGGACTTCAACTTCCAGAATTCCCCAGCCAGCCATGCTGGTTGGGGAATTCTGGGAGCTGTAGTCCACACATCTTCAAGTCGCCACGGTTGAGGAACCCTAATCTAGATGAACCTGGAAGGAGCAGGACTCACCAGACTTTGGATTGCCTCTTAAACAAAACAATTTGAGTTGAAGAGATTAAAACAGCCCCTCCAACCACCCTTAAAAAAAAAAAAAAACTCTCCTAATAGAAAGGGTAAGAGCTGACTCAGCCTCTTTCTAAAAAGCATCTCAGGGATGAGAAGAATCTCTCCTTCACTGAGATCCTGAAAATCTCCTGAGTTGTCAGATGCTATTCAACTTGACTGCTTATCCTTTCATGCTTTCTTGCCCTCTGTCCAAGTTTCCTTAGTGCTGAATGGAAATGCATGAGCTTCATTCTAAGGATGTACACAACGCACTGATTTGGGGACCAAAGGTTACTTTTGGGAACCCCCAAAGCGCCCCGAAACAATGTAGTCCAAAGGAGGCTCAGCATGGCTCAGAATGTTTTGTTTTGTTTTGCATAGGGCTTTTGAGGTTTAAGTTGTGAGATTGCATGAAAGCATGTTAATAAATACAAAGAAAGCTTTTTTCCCAACCAGGAAATAGGATATGTTAGACTACAGTTCGAATGATGTGTTGATGTGACAGCCATTGCGTGTTGTAATCTGACATGTCTGAAAGGTGCTACCTTGGAGAAAACAGTTACAAGGTTTGGAGTGTAAGTCATTTGAGGTCTTTCTGGGTCCAGAGGCAGTTCAGAAATATTTTTGCAGACAACGGTAAAATTGGAAGAAGGTATGAGGCCTCTGGCTGCCCAATCTAGATCATACAGAACAAACAACACTCAGCATTTCTCCTACATTGCCTTCCAGTGCTCTGTTGTATATTCTGTAGTCACTAGAATAGGCAGCATACAATGGTAGGTAAGTAAATACATATGTTTGATATGAAAAATGTGTAATATGTAAAATGTCCACAGAGAGGCTGGTTTTCTGTCATTGTTATTACAATTACAGGTATCCATCTGTATTGGGTATATTGTAATTATTTACTTACTTTATTATTTCTATTATTGCTGCAATTCCCTTCTAGGGTTTGAAAAATCTAAAAAAAAAAAAAGATGCAGTAAAAGAGTAACATAACATAATCTTACATGAAATGTCAGTAAACCAGCAAGCCTTGCTAAGTGCCATTCTTTCTGCCTTTCCCAAGCCAATCAGGTCATTCTTCCACTGACAATTGTTTGAAAAGCAGAGGGGTGCCCTAGAGAGGCGTCCCCCCCACCCCCGGAACCTTATTCCCTATTTGCATTTATTCACAGAGCCTCCTCAGATGGGTTTGTGGCAGGTCCTACAAGCAAGGACTTTTATATATTTTTAATCTCAGCCTTTCACTACAGTTTATTTGTGTATTTTATTTCTTTTTTAATCGTTTGTATATTTATTTACAGTTTTTAAAATCATTTTTGCCATCGGCCCAGGGAGCTTGGTTATGGGGCAGATGATCCTAATTGTTGCTCTGCTACTCTTAATACGTAATTGTCATATTTGTCTGTTCTACATGTAGATGTTCCTGCCTGGCTCAAAAGTCTGCGCCTCCATAAGTACGCTGCCCTTTTTTCCCAGATGACATACGATGAAATGATGTCCTTGACTGAATGTCAGCTTGAGGCTCAAGTATGTTAGATTATCTAGTTAAAAATTAGCTTCTGAGTTGCTTTGGCCATTTGACGCCTAATCATTAGAGCCTAAGACCACCCAATTTAAGAGCAGATTGATTAGAGTTTCTTATTAGCAGTAATTCTGCATCAGTGTGTATATAAATAAATACTAGATTTGAAGAGGGAAAGCCCATTTCTCAGTCTGACCCATTATCCTGATTGATGACAGGTACTACTTTAAGTGGTTCATTCCCTCCTATGGCTAAAAGACAATGCCAATCTTACAAAAACTTTTATAAAAGCTTTTATTTGGGTTAGAGCAAACTGCCTTTTTTTCTGGCCAGAGAGAGCATTCTACTCTGAATGCTCTTGCAGATAGAAATGAAGATCAGACAATACCCATTCTTTTTTCATCCCACAGAATCACCACTTCCGTTTTTCCAGGCAGACCTCCGATCATTCTAGATCATATTTTTAGGTAGAATAGGGAAATCACTTGGTCCGTGCCACCAGCAGGCTTTCTTTGCTGGAACAGAAATCTTCTGTGAATGAAAAGAGTCCATCTCTCTTTAATGAATTAAATAAGATTTGAATCAAATAGATTTAGGTCAGGCACCTTTTGACTTGATCTAAAAGGTTCAACGAAGTTTTCAGGCCTCGGGGGCCATAATACAATGTACCAGAGGGCCCTGCCTCGAATGCCTGAAATCTGGTAAGATACGTAAATTATACAGAATTGCAGTGATTGCAGTCTAAACTGTAACCTGTGAACAGTGAAATCATTTGCTCAAATGCAAGAGTTAGCACTGGAAGAACACTGGAATCTAGCAAACTTTCTTAAGATTTAATAATTTTACCAGCTTTCAGACATGTACACATCTAGTATCCACCAATGTCCAGATTAAGGGGGACGCGGTGGCGCAGCGGCTAATGAC